TCTCTCCCTCTCTCCCTCTCTCCCTCTCTCCCTCTCTCCCTCTCTCCCTGCCTCCATCCTTCTCTCCCACCCTTCCCCTACTGCTCTCTCTTTCCTTTCGGTCTGAACTTTTCTCCCTTCCTTTGTCTGTCGTTTTTGTCTTTCCCCCCCCTCTAAGAAGATAACTGCTTTATTAATGAGACTAGAAATCGGGTCCAGTGCCCCTTACATCAGAAACCCACTTGACGCTTCCCTTTGTTATGGCCAAAGGATCAGGACGTGTTGCTTGGGATCTTGACATGGCAGCATTGATTACATCCTGGATCAGGAAGGATGTACCACCAGTCCACCCCTGTTTCCTATCTTAGACTAGGCTGCTCTTTGGAAAAGAAGTCCGCATTCTTCCTCCCTACTGGATCTAATCAGCAGCACGACTGATTGGCAACATCAGCCTTAGTATGAGGACGAATGCGTAAGATACACCAGTCAATCATGCATTCATCACGCATACCTTATCAAAGCTGATCCTTGTGCATTCATGTCCGAACACTGGCAGTCCCTCTCAGTCCACTACTGTGTACTGTCTGAAAAGCCTTGTTGGAGCTGGTACGCCTCAGACTTGTTCTATACGCTTGTATACCTCTTGTCCACCAAACCCCGCTTTTCCTCAAAGCTAATTATGAGCCATTGGAGGCTTCTAACCTTCTGTAGTCTGTCCTTTGGGACATCCATTAAAATTGGAACGATACAGAGAGGATTAGCGTGGCCCCTGCACAAGGATGAGACGTATAAATCGAGAAATGGTCCTTGCACAGGGGCATCCATTTGAATTGGAACGATACAGAGAGGATGACACGCATAAATACAGAAATGGTATAAAAAAAAAAACAAAAAAAAAACAGAACTTCTGTGCTAGGCTGTTTGTCCAGGCGCGCGGGCAAGCCACTTGTGGCCAGATACACGCCCGGGAGCCCGGCCGGGCATGAATCCCGGCCAGGGTTCCGGGCAGCCCCAGCGCCCCCCAAAAATAGAAAAAAGAAAAAAATTCCAGCAAAAAAATATGTTGTGTAGAATTGCAATACAAACGACTTTTGGCTGAGGGTCGCATACGAATGGCAGGGAAGTTGAGAGGCCTTAGAGGCAGGCTCGCAGTACAGCCAGCCACCTCCACTCACTAGAGAGGCCTTAGAGGCCCAGCAAGCAGAGAATCCGCTTACAGTTAGAGAAAGGACTTTAGAGATGCTACCGGCAGAGCAAACAAAGCAAAACTGAGATAAGCAAGACTGGAGACTAGAGCGCAGGACAAGGCTGCATTAGAAGGGTTAGATGACTTGGTCCTTGATGACACTGGCAAAGTGCTCAAGGCAGGGATGCTGAGCATGTACGAGCAGATGGACAGCAAACTGGATGACATCCAGTCAACCCTTGGCCAGATACTAAGTGCCATGCAGGGGAAGGGAAGACCAGTCCCAACCACAACAGGCGGACCTACTGTCAGGGCACAAGCAGTCTTCCCATCGCCGACTCGGTATCCGGCGATGATAGGCACTTTTGTCCCTCAGTTAGGTGCCCACCAGGTGGTACGTCAGCAGCAAGTGCACAGGTTGCTGCATCTTCCTCTTCAGGTCCAGCTGCTGCAGCTGGTCCAGCAACCTGTGCAGCAACAGGTCCATGCTGGACCACAGCAACAATGGTACCCAAAGACCCCATTGTCTCCTCCAGAAACCTTTTCGGGTGATAAGAAGGAGGAGAACCTCAACGCATGGTTGAGGACCACATTTGGATATCGGCCAAGCGGAGGTTGCCCGAAGAAGAAGTGTTTGTTGCTGCCTCATACCTTAGAGGTTCGGCAGCAAGATGGACGAATGGTTTAGTCGCAACCCATGGCTTCGGTAGGAGGATGAATGATTGGGCAAGGACCCAAACTTTAGACTCGTTTCTCAAGCTGGTAGAGGAGCGGTTGCATAACCCTTAGCAGGCTCAGCAGGCCACTGATGTGTTGGACGGACTTGACGCGAAGAAGTACAAGACCGTCCTAGACCTCACCAACGTTGTAGCGAAACATACCATTGTCCCGGTTGTGCGCTATGATCCACAAGTCCTACTGACCATGTATCTGAGATGTCTTCCCATAGACATCAAGAACATGTTGGTCGGAGAGGCAAACATCGAAGAGTGTGATCTTGCTTCATTCAACAAGAAGGCCTTAGACTTAGAGGCCAAGCTAGGGGGCGCACAACAAGTTGCTGTAGACGGGAAAAAGAAGAAGGTTTCACAAGAGTGGAAAAAGAAAGGTAGTCGATTGATGATTGTTCATTCTGATGGGAATCAAATGGTGGTCGATGATATTTCTGAGCTTGTGGAGGACACAGAGTTAGGCAGCGAGGAGAACGAAGAGGGTGGAAACCTCGCCGCGACAACCAAAGGTAAGGCTGGTGGTCCGTGCAAGGGCGGCCAACAAAAGACTCAGGGGAAGGCTCAAAACTCGCCCAATACTCCAGCTTGGGCGAGAGCTGGCCTTGATCTAGATGTGTGGAGAGACCGGTACACATGGGGTGCTTGCATTAACTACGACCAGTATGGGCATTAACAGTTTAAGTGCAAGAATGCAAAGGTGCCTCAGAAGATCCCACCCACAAGGGGTGTTTGCGGCCCAGGGTGGTGCCTCTACGAGCACATGCCAGGGAAACACATCAGGCCAGTAGAGGTTATAGCTGCCTCTGCTCGTGCTGAAGTGGAGGTCTTTCCCTCACCGCTTCAAGAGTTGGTCGACTCTATTGACTCACTTGTCACCCCGCAGACGCACTTAGACCAAACGATACTCTGTTCGTTAGATGTGTGTGAGGCCTTAAAGGACTTCGGAAAGGAGTGGTCAGCAAGAGACCCTCTTGAGTCTTGGGTGGAGGTCACTGTAGGTGGACGGAAGTTTGGCGCCTTAGTCCACACGAAACTTCATAAGTCGCGACTGTATTAAGAGGTTGTGCCTAGGGGACACGGTGCACTGGCTAAGAAGATTTGTGGCTTCTACTTTAGCCAACAAGAAGTGCATGGTTGCCCATGACGACATTAACAACGTGGTGTGCACGTTCTTCTATGGAGGGGAAGTTAATCATAAGATTTTGTTCCTAGTTAGCGACGACTTGCCGTTCGACATATTGTTGGTTATGTACTACCTCGAGGTTGCGAAGCCCCAATTTGACTGGGAACGAAAGATGCTCAAGCACGTGTTGCCCTATGGAAGGACCGTTAGACTAGCTAAGTACGAGGCTAGCAGGTAAGTACGAGGCTAGCAGGTTAGTTGACTCTTAAGGTTGCATATGCGCATCTGCGTTTTATGATTACAAGTGGACCCCGCCACAGCTACGCCGTGGTGCACAGCAACAGTCGCTGATGGCGTCTCATTTTTCTTTCATGTCTCTCTCTCTCTCTCTCTCTTTCTCTCTCTCTCTCTCTCTCTCTCTCTCTCTCTCTCTCTCTCTCTCTCT